GATTTCCTTCCTCACTTCACTGGATTTGAGCAGTGGGTGTGTCATTCTCCAAATTCTTGTATAGTCTTTGTCGATAATTCTCTTCATTCATATTTTCTCCTCCCTTCTGTCTTTCATCTTGCTCTTCGGCTGTGTTTTGATGATGAGTGCTTGAGTGTTTATCAGTGAAAATGCATTTGTTTCTTTCCTATTCTATTTTGCTATGACAAGTATTGAAAAAAAACAATCAAAAAATAATTTATCTTCTGTTTTATGCTTTTTGTATAAAATTCACCATCTTCTCTACACCATTCCCACTTTTCTGTTAATATATCAAAGTGGTGGGAAAAAAAAAAAAAAAAAAAAACAATATACATACATATATACCCAAATATATTTTTTCAAATTGATATCTCTGCTTTTTGTCTTGAATTTTTTTCTTTTTTAATGCTTATTTAAGCAATTAATAGGTTCTCTTATACATGTCAAATTTGACGTTTTAGATATTTTTAATCCAGGAAAAACTTGCATGCAAAAACTGATTTTTTTTTTTTTTTTTTTTTTTTTTTTTAAAAACAAAAAACAAAACTGAATTTATTACATCAAAACATTTCTAAAACAATCCTATTCTATCCAGTACCTTGTTTTGCAAAATTGACTTTTATCTGAATTGAAGTTCTTGGGTAATTTTTTTAACATAGTCTCTTTTAAGCTTTGAAGTAATTGTTGATGAATTCTATTTTTATTTGTGTGTGTGTGTGTGTGTGTGAGAGAGAGAGATATATAGTATACACTTACACTCACTTTTCATTGGTGATTTATTTTATCACTAAATAATGCAAGGTAATTAAAAATATATGGGAGATTAATTTAAGGATTATAAATATAGAATTAACTCCCTTTACAAAGAAAATTGTCATTACAATGAAATCCATAGACAAAATCTCTCCATAAACATACAATTATATTTTAAAACACTGAAATAATAAATATTACCCATAATACTGAAGGAGTGAAACATTTTTTCTCCATTTATTTTAATCCCATTATTCATCAGTTTTAACAAAGCCGCCAGTAATGTAAAAGTTGTAGAGGAAGACTAGTGATAAAAAAAACAAAATATTGGTAAAAAAAAAAATTTTTTTCCCAAATAACAAAGGAAAAAATACAAAATTATCCAACCTAATACTTGTTTTCCCAGACTATAGAAATGTTTTGTTGGTTTCCTGACCCCCCTCCTTTTTTGGAATGGAGTAGACATGTAATGAACTTCCAGCGAGACATGGGTCATTCTGGGTACAAATTCTTTTGCCTTTTTGGTAGTATTTTGTTTATACTAACATTTTCAGTGTATCTAGTTATTTGCTCCATACTTTAAAAAAAAAAAAATTGTAGCTAAGTTTCTGAAGCTTAGAACTGATCTGAGATGTTAATATTTCATAAACACATTTGCTTGACAGCTGGAAAACAAATGTTATGCATTAAAACTGTAAATCATTAACTTAATTTAGTCAAATGTGATGTTCAATCTCCGCTTGTCGTCTGCTCTGTATCCAGTGCTACTAACAGCATTTATTTGTTTTTTTTTTTTTTTTTTTTTTTTTAAGTATCATTTTCAATTATTTGTTAAATGTTGGAATGTTGCAGTAGAGGTGCTAGCTTGTCTGGTAAAAGTGCATTTTCATAAATTATTTCGTTGAAAGGAAAGTTCTTGTTTCTCGGTAACTGCAAGAACTTACTTTCCACCTATGTAGTTCCAACGAAAAATGTTGGTTTTTTCTTTCACTTCATTGATAAGGCGACAATCTTGCTGATAAAACAATTTTATATTCTATCAGTTAAAATATGTTAGCATAGATCCAATAAATACTGTCATTTGAGTTCCAGTTCCCCCTTTGGGGTAAATATGGCTTCTCTAGGAACATAGACTAAACCTCCAGTAGTTTGAATTCCCGTTGGGAACTAATACAAGACCTAAAGCTTGTTGCATATGTGTGTTATAGTTTCTCTGTCTGAGAGAAACATAAATGTTTGTATATAATTTTCTGTATGACTTGCGATATAAAACTCTGAGAATAAGACATTTGTGATTCCTTTTCTTTCAGCACTTCTGTTCTGTCTGTATTATAGTGTTGATGGATTTTAAAACTTGAATACATGTATGATAATTTCTTTTAATTTATAACTATTAAATAAACTGAAGCATATTTCAACAAACAAAGTTCAATAAAATGCTAGGGTATTGTAATCCAATAAACAAAATTCTGTAAATAAAAAGCAAGAAAGCGTAAAAGAATCCCCCCCCCTCCAAAGTACCCCATCGTTGAGAATCTCTGCATTAGAGTACCAAGGAAGTACGAAATAACATTTAATTACAAACCCTCTTTCCTATTGATTAAGCACTTGAGATTACAATTATATTTTTTTTTTTTTTTTTTTTTTTTTTTTTAAAAGCTTAAATTATAAGAAATCAGGTCATCTGAGCAGATTTTGTTTCAAACTCTGCAGACAGGAGTTTATTTGCAATAAATTTATATGCTTGCATAGAAAGCATCTGTGTGTATAAGACCCCCCAACCCCCATTTTCAAGTTAAAATGTAGGTTTCAGGCTTTATATTTGCCATACAAGATGACCCCCCCCCCCACCAAAACTGACATTTTAAAATGTTTATTACATAAATTTGCTAAGCATATGCTTTCTTTACACTCAAATTCCAATGAAAAAAACAGGTCATGGGATAAAAAAGAAAGAAAATTATAGTAGCCTGAATGACTTTTTCTTGCTAACTGTCCACTGTTTTTGAATGCGATCTTTAAACAATTTGTTGAAAAATGTCCAGTTGTCTTTGTTCAACATCATCAAAAAAAGGAGGGGGAGGCAATGGTTAGCCTAATGTCAAAAATCTCCTATGCTAACAACTTACCTTATAAACCATAGAATGTATAGTTCACATTCTATACCTGGAGGTTAAAAGGTCATCTTGTACACCGACATATACGATACATAGCAAACTGGACTCCACTCCGTTATTAACTTTTTTGATATTCCTTGTCTGGAGTGCTTAATCTGAATCCAGGTAAAATATCACAGGTAAAAAAAAAAAAAAAAAAATCACATGAAAAAGACAAATTGGACAGTGTTTCTGTGTTATTCTTTAATAGGCATTTTGTTTAATCCTTAACCTTAGTATCCCTCACCCTAACAGTAGTAGAACCAACACCATTGAGATGGAAGGGGCCTCTTGATGTGAACGCAAGTAGTATAAGCCGAAGGGGAAAACGCTGAAAATGAATGATTGTAGGCATTTTTTTTTTTTTTTTAAGTATCGAATACTTTTTTAAATTCCAATGAAAAAAAAGAAAAGGAAACCAGGGTTCAGATTTCATCTTAGAACTTTATTTTTAGAAATTAACATTGAATAAAGAAAAAAAACAAGCAAACTATTATTATAGAAAAAAAAATTTTATTCTGTAAAGTTATACTTATGATGGCAATTGACACAATAATTTTTCATACGAAGAAAAGTAAGCCAGAGTTCAATTTCTACTTTAATTTTGAAATAAATAAAGAACAAACAACAAATCGATTAAAAATCCATTTTTTTTTTTTTTTTTAAGGATTATTCCATAAAGTTCACTGACACAGAATATTTTTATATTAAAATTACATTAGAAAAGAAAGAAACCAAGCTTTGATTTTTTTTACCTTAGAATAAACTTTATTTTCTAAAGGAAAGTTATTTAAAGTTGCTATGTTAAAGTAAATAGCATATGTTTATTATTGAATTTAAAGACTGTAAAATTCCTTCTCCTTTTTTTGTTTGTGTAAAGTTATTTGAAAACTATTTTTTTTATAATAAAAAAATTCGACATGGTTTTAATTTTTTATTTTAATTATTCTGTAGTAATAAATTTACACTACTGACATTTTTTGTGTTGAAAATAAGACAAATTTTAAATAATTGTATAAAAAGGTGTTACATAGGTATATAGGAAATTTTGGCTAACATTTGAAGTTTTTTTGGTTAACTTGTTTCTAGTAATATTATTATTATTACTATTATTATTGTTTTCCATAGCACAAAAAACTTTTCAAAAGAACATTTGAAAATCTCCAAACAAGCATTCTTTCTAATTTTTCAATACTGCAACCCTCGCTGCAAAAGTCTACATGAAAAAAATGATCATTATCGGCCAAAACATTCAAGGTTATGTGCATAGCTAACTTCCTTTGATTTCCTGAATGAAGAAAAAAAGAATTTTTTGTCAATTTACCAATAATTATATAATTATAGCGAACAGCATTTGTAGTAGTATCATTAGAGAATTTCTATTAATTCCCTGAAAATAGCTGTTTATTTCAGGTATTTTGTCATCATTAACACTTCCAGATATTAAATTATTGAAACTATGTAATTATAGAGAACAAGATTTGTATTAGTATCATTAGAATATGGCATGCTCAATTTTAAAACTGGCATTCTGATCTCTTTTTTTTTTTTTTTTTTTTTGCGCACTCAAACACTTGACGTATACAAATATTATATTGATCTCCACCAAATTCCTGGCCCTGGCTAAATCTATCCTGAAGGTGATCTTTTTGAAATTTACCAGTTAATACATATGGCATTTTCAGTTCTCGTGTGCAATATTTGGTCAGTTCTAGAATTGCATGAGTAGTGATGCAAAGTTGCGAAGGTTTCATTTGTTAGCTTCCCATTATTTCCAAAAATGCTATTGCAAGATTCTAACCACTTGCAGAATACATTGAAAAATACATAATGGCCATCATTTACTTTAAGTAGATTAGCATATTTATTGTTAAGCCACCAGTCCTTATATGGCATTTCACATTCAGTCTTGTCCATCAAGTATATAAAATATGTTTTTGTATTCTACATAGGCAAACATTTGTTTCTTTCCTTAAGGTCTGCAATCCCTGAATAGTGAATTAGTTAAAAATTTGCAAAACTAATAAAACATTTCACTTTTCAAAACTGGTGGGAGAAAGAGCCATTGAA